CCGTCTTCGTCGTCGTCGTCGCCGTCGTCGTCGTCGTCGCCGTCGCCGTCGTCGTCGTCGTCGCTGTCGTCGTCGTCGTCGCCGTCGTCGTCGTCGTTGCCGCCGCCGCCGTCGCCCTCGCCGTCGTCGTCGTCGTCGTCGTCGCTGTCTTCGTCGTCGTCGTCGTCGTGGCCTCCGCCGTCGTCGTCGTCGTCGTCGCTGTCCTCGTCGCCGTCGCCGTCGTCGTCGTCGCCGTCGTCGCCGTCGCCGTGGTCGTCGTCGTCGTCGCTGTCCTTGTCGTCGTCATCGCCGTCGTCGTCGTCGCTGCCTTAGTCGTCGTCGTCGTCGTCGCCGCCGCCGCCGTCGTCGTCGTCGTCGTCGTCGTCGTCGTCGTCGCTGTCCTCGTCGTCGTCGCCGCCGTCGTCGTCGCCGTCGCCGTCGTCGTCGCCGTCGTCGTCGCCGCCGTCGTCGTCGTCGTCGCCGCCGCCGCCGTCGTCGTCGCCGTCGCCGTCGTAGCTGTCTTCGTTGTCGTGGTCGTCATCGCCGCCGCCGCCGTCGCCGTCGTCGTCGTCGTCGCTGTCCTTGTCGTCGTCGCCGCCGTCGTCGTTGTCGTCGTCGTCGTCGTCGCCGTCGTCGTCGTCGTCGCCGTCGTCGTCGTCGCCACCGTCCTCGTCGTCGTCGTCGTCGCCGCCGTCTTCGTCGTCGTCGTCGCCCTCCCATTACACAGGTGGGGGGGGGCACGTGGAGCCGTGGGACCCCTCCCATCTGGGGGGGGGGGCCTGATGGCCCGGAGCCTGTGATCATAAATGGCGGCCTCGGACTCCAGGATTCTGACGCTGTTTGTTTTTTTTGTGCCTTCCAGGTTCTTCGTGGCCACGGCTAGGCGCAGCTCGAACAAATGGATACTCCTGACCCTGTGAAGCGTCTGGGGATCTGCTCTGACCGGATCAGGGTGGGGGGCAGGGCGAGGGGCGAGCGGGGCTTCTATCCTGAGAGGGCAGGGTGCTTCTTAGAGAGGGCCTGAGGCTCCTCAGGATGCCTCCTCGAAGGCAAGAGTGCTTCCAAGAAGCCCCCCCGACTTGTCAGAAGGCGCCCATTTCGCCGCCTCATCCCCTTTCTGCGCGCTGCCAGAGCTAGTATGGGCACGGCTTGATGAACGTGCAGTGGAGCTGCATCCAGTCCTGCTTCAGACTTATCCTCCGGCCGCTTAATCCAATATCGTTTGCGCAGGTTTTCCTATCGTATCCAGGGTGCCTCTGTCTTCGGGGGCATTGTAGTCTGTTCTTTGGCGAGCGTTTTTGTTTACCCTCCCCAGCGTAACGCTCGTTACCCGGGTCCCCCCCCCATAAGTAACGCTAACGATCGTACTGGGCGGGGTGGCCTGGACCCCGCTCTACATGCTAGGGGGTGGACCTCCCGCAGGTACGCTGTAAAGGCATGATTTGGTGCTCACAAGCGTGTTGTGGCGCTCGCAGGCTCTCCACCTGTTGCGGCGCCGAGCTCACGGGCGTGGCGTGGTGCTGAAAGGCATGATTCGATGCTCATATGCGGGTTGTGGCGCTTGCAGGCTATTGCGGTGCGCATAGGTCAGGCGGACTCGTTGCCACTGTGCTCTACTCGGAGGGCGGCGGGTCGGGGGGCCGATATCGAGCGGTTTTCGGCTGCGCGGGCGTTCGATGTTGAACGCAACGCAAGGGCCGGTTTCGGGCCCCTGGTCCAGCGGAAACGAGCCCACGGCGCGAAATCGATATCGAAGATGAGGTCGAGGGTTTCCAGGGTCTTCCGGGAGCGGATCTCATTCAAGATTGAACGATCCACGCGGTGTCAGAAATCAACGCCGACGGCGCTGGAGCTTTCGACACCGTCGTGAGGCTCCTGCTGCTCCTTCTATTGCTGCTTCTCTTGCTCCTCCTGCTGCTCCTCCTCCCGCTCCGTATTCCCCCCTCAACGAAGGCCGCCAGAACCGTTGAAAGAGGAGGGAAAGAGGAGAGGGAGGAGGAGGCGCAGGAGGAGGAGGAGGAGGAGGATGGAAGAGGAGGAGGAGGAGGAGGAGGAGATTAATGACGAGTCCTGAGGGCCTCCGCCTCCGTGATATGTGGCGAGCCCGGCAAGGAAGTCTTGCAACCTATTGATGTAATCGCTGGCACGTTTGGCGTTCTGGTGTGCACAGGCGTTGTGGTGCACGGAGGCATTGTGTCGTGCACAGGCGTTGCGGTGCACATGGTTGCTGTGGTGTACACACGCGCTGTGGGGTATATCAGCGCTCTGGTGCACGCAGGCAATGTGGTGTACGCAGGCGCTGATGCGCACACGGCTGCTGCAGTTTACACAGCCACTGCGGTGCACATAGGCGACGTGGTGCTTCGGTGCACGCGGCCGTGGTGGTATACGGAAGCATTGTGATGTACACAGGCGGCGCTGTGTTGCACGCAGGCATTGGGACTTGTCGCGTGCATAAGGACTGTGGCGCACACAGGCGATTGATGCACCGGTGGCGCGGACGCACCCTGGCGGGTGCACGCCGCGGCCGCCGTTACCGTTAACCTTCCCGCCCGGCCACCCCCCAGGGTAACGACCGTTACCTGGGAAGGGGACAAAAACGTTCACTTGCTTGCCTGGGTCAGCACATGCAGTGGGCTGTGAACGCAAGCGGCTACAGTAACCAGTCGTAGCCGAAGGGGAGGCTACTGGAGCACCAGCCTGTCACAGGGCTCGCTTGCTCCAATTTTCCAGTGCATGGCTGTGACAGAAG